TGATGGGGTGTGCTATCCAGATGGATGCATGTGTCATGTGGAAGCATGGCGCATGAGGGTAAAATGATTGTTGTTGTTGTTGTTGTTGTTGTTGTTGTTGTTGTTTAACTCTCACTGCTTAAGTATAGTTACTGTTGATCCCCCCCCAACCGGTGCATACGAACCACGAACCACGGACCACGCCCGCACATGGGCACCGTCTAGGGTGCTGCGGGTGCGGCGCCGGAGCGTCGGAGTGTCGGAAAATGATTCCCGATCAGAAGTCCGAGTCGACCTTGTTCCTAAACTCCTCTGTGGCAACTTCCAATATCTCTTGCCCTTGAGGCTGGAGATCTTGCCCTTGAGGCTGGAGGTCGACAGGTGGAGCTCGAAGAGGCTGGAGATCTTGCCTTTGAGGCTGGAGATCTTGCCCTTGAGGCTGGAGATATTGTCCTCGAGGCTGGACATCTTGCCCTTGAGGCTGGACTTCTTGCCCTTGAGGCTGGAGGTCGACAGGTGGAGGTCGAAGAGGCTGGAGATCTTGCCCTTGTGGCTGGAGATCTTGCCCTTGAGGCTGGAGATCTTGCCCTTGAGGCTAGAGATCTTGCCATTGAGGCCGGAGATCTTGCCCTTGAGGCTGGAGGAGGAAGACTGGGTGGCGTCATCTGCTGGGTGGGAGTCGGAAGTCGGAAGCCGGTGCGTACGGTTTTTTTGCAATTGAAGTGCCCCTCCCGGCGCTCTCACCATGGTTTTACCAAGGAAAGTCCCAAGGCTCAAACTGTGCCCCTGGCCCCCGGGTTACAACAACAACGGCTGCCGCTTGAGACTTCCTCACAATTTAGCCAGGACCCCCGCTCCCGCTAGAGATTTCCTCGCATTTTATTCAGGAATCGCGCTCTCGCTTGGGACTTCCTTACAATTTCTTCAGGAACCGCTCTCTCGGCGCTCTGGAGTCGCGCTCTCGCTGGAGACGTGCTTGTAATTTACTCAAGAATAGCGCCCTTGCGTTGGAATTTTCCGCAATTTATTTAAGAGCCGCGCTCTCGACACTCAGGCGCTCAGGAGTCGCGCTCACGCCTATGATTCCAGGAAGGCAGGCAGGCAGTCCGATCCCTCACACATTATTTAGGAATCGGGTGCAGCCCTTCGTTGCCCCCTCGCTGCCCTTCGTGGCCCCGTTGCAGCCCTTCGTGGCCCCCTCGCTGCCCTTCGTGGCTCCGTTGCAGCCCCTCGTGGCTCCCTCGCTGCCCTTCGTGGCCCCGTTGCAGCCCTTCGTGGCTCCCTCGCTGCCCTTCGTGGCCCCGTTGCAGCCTTTCGTGGCCCCCTCGCTGCGCTTCGTGGCCCCGTTGCAGCCCCTCGTGGCCCCCTCGCTGCCCTTCGTGGCCCCATTGCAGCCCTTCGTGACCCCCTCGCTGCCCTTCGTGGCCCCGTTGCAGCCCTTCAGTGGCCCCGTTGCAGCCCCTCGTGGCCTCCTCGCTGCCCTTCGTGGCCCCATTGCAGCCCCTCGTGGCCCCCTGGCTGCCCTTGGTGCCCCGTTGCAGCCCCTCGTGGCCCCCTCGCTGCCCGTCCCTTCGTGGCCCCGTTGCCCTTCGTGGCCCCGTTGCAGCCCCTCGCTGTTCGTGGCCCCAAAGGCCCCCGCCCTTTCCGCCCCTCGTGCCCCCGTGCCCTTCGTGGCCCAGCCCTTCGTCGGCTCGTTCGCTTTCGTGCAGCAGCCCTCGTTCGCTGCCCTTCGTGGCCCCGTTGCAGCCCCTCGTGGCCCCCTCGCTGCCCTTCGTGGCCCCGTTGCAGCCCTTCGTGGCCCCTCGCTGCCCTTCGTGGCCCCGTTGCAGCCCTTCGTGGCCCCCTCGCTGCCCTTCGTGGCCCCGTTTTCGTGGCCCCCTCGCTCGGGCCGGAGCCCTTTGTGGCCCCCTCGCTGCCCTTCGTGGCCCCGTTGCAGCCCCTCGTGGCCCCCTCGCTGCGCTTCGTGGCCCCGTTGCAGCCCTTTGTGCCCCCCTTGCTGCCCGTCGTGGCCCCGTTGCAGCCTTTCGTGGCCCCCTCGCTGCCCTTCGTGGTTTGGTTGCAGCCCCTTGTGGCCCCCTCGCTGCCCTTCGTGGCCCCGTTGCAGTCCTTCGTGGTCCCCTCGCTATCCTTCGTGGCCCCGTTGCAGCCTTTCGTAGCCCCCTCGCTGCCCTTCGTGGTCCCATATATGTATGCCCTTCGTGGCCCCCGTTTGTCCGCGCCCTTCGTGGCCCCCTCGCTGCCCTTCGTGGCCCCGTTGCTGCCCTCGGTGGCCCCGTCCTTGCCCTCCGCGGCCCAATATACGTATGCCCTTCGTGGCCCCTGCTCGTTCGCGCCCGTCGTGGCCCCATGTGCATGCCCTTCGTGGCCCCGCTGTCGCCCTTTGTGGCCCCCTCGCTGTCCTACATGGTCCCGTGGCTGCCCTCAGTGGCCCCGTCGTTGCCTTCCGTGGCCCTATTATCTGCCCTTCGTGGCCCCCGCTCGTTCGCGCTCTTCGTGGCCGCATGAGCATTCCCTTCGTGTCCCCGCTGTCGCCCTTCGTGGCCTACTTCGTGCCTTTCGTGGCCCTGCTGTCGTTCTCTCTCTCTCTCTCGCTGTCGCTTTCGCTCGTCGTCGTCGTCGTCGTCGTCGCCGTCGTCGGCGACGTCGTCGTCGTCGTCGTCGTGGTCGGTCCCCTGTCCGTCCCCCTTGGGGTCGGGTTGCCGCCGATCAGCGCTGCCGCTGGCCAGGCCGACGGTCCGCGGCCGCCCCGCCGCTTGCCGGGGCACGGCCTGCAGGGAAGAACTGTATACCACCCAAAAAGGGTACGATCGAAGACGAAGAGGGCGGGTAACGAGGGTTTGGGAACAACGCGTCAACGGGCACTCGAGCAGATAAGAGCGAACAGTCTTATAATGATTGTTGTGGTTGTCGTCGTCGTCGTCGTTGTTGTTGTTGTTGTTGTTGTGGTTGTGGTTGTGGTTGTTGTTGTTGTGGTTTTTGTTGTTGTTTTTGTTGTCGTTGTTGTAGTTGTCGTTGTTGTCGTTGTTGTGGTTGCTGCTGTTGTTGGTGGTGTTGTTCTTGCTGTTGTTGTTGTTGATGTTGTTATTATTATGATTGTTATTGTTGTGGTTGTTGTTGTAGTCGCTGGCGTCGTTGTTGTGGTTGTCGTTGTTGTTGTGGTTGTTGTTGTTGTTGTTGCTGCTGTTGCTGTTATTGTTTTATACCTAGACATACATCTATATACATTTGTTTGTTTATATACATCGTGTGTGTGTGTGTGTGTGTGTGTGTGTGTGTGTGTGTGTGTGTGTGTGTGTGTGTGTGTGTGTGTGTGTGTGTGTGTGTGTGTGGGGGGGACGGGTCCTTGCGAGTGGCTGGGTGGGTGGGTGGGTGGGGTGCGTGGGGTGGGCTGGAGTGTGAGGTCGCGGTGTGCGATCAGCGCGGGCGCAAGGTCGTTGAACGTTTCGGATCCGTACCGCCCACCGACTGTCCAGATCAGGTCGCCAGAGATGGTGAAGAATACGCGGTGTTTGTGGTCTCCAGGTTTGTTGGAGTCACGTACATCCTCTACTCAGGCTGTCGTGGGACTTTGCAGTGCTGCGGGGATCGAGTCTTCTCGACCAGATCGGCCACTGTTCGTGTCCACTTGTGGTGAAACAGTTTTGCGGAGGGAGATCTCACAAGGCTCTCTGTTAAGAAGGTCCGAAGTCACTCTGTTCAGGTCGATGTTCGCGAAGGGCGCATTTCGGAATTCGACAGGCAAGCCAACCACGAAGCCGACAAGATGGCTAAGTAGGGTGCTTCGCTCAGCAGGCACGACGAAGCCGACATTTGTTGGCAAAGGTTTGTTGTTCGCTGTCCTTCTGGTTTCGAACTTCATAACCACGGCCGAGGTTTTCATTCGAAAGAGGGCAGGTTCGACAATGTCGGAGCCCAAGGGTTCACTTTGATCTCCCTGGAAAGTGCTGGCTTTGGGGCGGCCATCGACGTGCCAGGACGGAAGAGGCTGAGGAGGAGGAGGAGGAGGAGGAGGAGGCAAGGGCTGCTGCTGCGGCGGAGCCCGCCCCGCTTGAGGCCCCCCTCGAGAGCCCCGAGGTCAACCCACCTCCTGGAGGCCTCAGCCCAGACCCCTCTAGCTTCTTCGACGGACCGACAGAGGTCCCTTGGAGGTAGCGAGGGCACGTTTTGCTCGAGTTTCCTGTGCTGCAAGGGGAACCCCCATTCCTCCTCGTTTGCTCGTCGTGCGGAAGCTGTGCCACGACGGCCCCAGGAGCGAGGGGGCTCAAGGCAGCGTGCGTGGGGCCACAAGCGGCCGTTCTAGGAGCTGGCAAAAGGAATAGTGCCGCGTTTTTCGAGCTGAAGCATCCCAGCCGCCCTTTGAGGGTTGGGCCGTGCCAGTCACCAGGGGACCAGGCTCGCACTTTGTTTGAGGGTGTGCTCGACAGACCTGCCAGGCTGCCCAGGATTGCTGCGGCCCGAGAGGACTCAGGGACGGAGGCCAGGCACGAGCTTGGCTTGGCAGACTGCCTCAGAGTTTTGGCTTGAACGAAGCTGTGGCCAGAAGCTTCGGCACCACGCTCCGAGAGCGGACATCCAGCGATCTCGGGGACGACGATAATCGCGATCTTTTTTCCTAGTGGTGGCCTTGTCGCGGGTCCACGGGGCTGCCAGTCTAAGCCGCCTTGTGGTGCGAAAAGGTCCTCTCCGAGGGGCCTCCCCTAGTGTTTGGCGCTGACCACAGAACCTCTCTCTTTTCTCTCCCTTCAGCGGCGTGCGATCCTTCCCCCTCCCCCTTCCTTCTCCCCTTCCCCTCCTCTTCCGCCGCCGCGGCCACCGCTGCCGCCGCCGCTGAAGAACGCCGCCCCGCCGACGACGACGCTGGCGCGGCGACGATGACGACCAAGTCGGCGGCGGCGACAATGATGACAGCGGCGGCGACGACGTCAACGGCGGCGACGACGGCGGCGGTGGCGACAACGATGACGATGACGGCGGCGGCAGCATTGTAGTCGACGGCGGCGGCGGCGGCAACGTCGGTCGAGGTGCGGCCGTGCCCCGGCCTTCGTGCACGAACGGCTGCAGGCGTACCGCGGGGAGCTCCGCCCGGCGCAACCGGCGGTCTCCGGAGGCGCCCCCGCTCATTGGCCGCGGGTTCGCTCGAGGATTCGGGCGACCAGATCCCCATCTTTCCAATTATTTGTGCTTCAAAGTGGGCGTTTTCCTCGATTTCGGCTTCTGGGGCTCACTGGTGGGCCCCTGGACCATAAAAAGTAGATCCAGGGCGAAATATTTCACCCAGAGAATGGGTCGGTACTTCTGGGGCCGCGCACGGAACAAATCATATAGTTGATGTACTCACACCCCTGCTTTGCTTCAGCAGCATACTTACCGACACTTTCTGAAACTGTGTTGGCTTCGATCCCTGAAAAATGGTTCGGTCCGCCCGCCGCGCGCGCCCGCTGGCCAGCCGGCCTTCTCCCTAGTAGCATGATCGTAGACACAGCTTAACGGCACAACACCATACTAAGCCATGGCCACAATAAGTATTTTTCCCATACGTCGCTTGGATCTGAACATGAAGTTACTACAAGAAGAGGGCCACCATGAAGAACAACTATACGCTTTGCCGTTCAATCGGGCTGCGAAAGCTCCCCTCCTGACGGAGATAAGGCAAAACATGGATTATCAACCGAAGCTTCTATCATCGACGAAAGCGATGCCACCAGATGGGGGAACCATGTTTCTCCCTTGAATGGATGATGTACGAAAGAAAAAACACATGCCACGGCTCAACTACGAGCGTTCCTGGGGCTGCTTCTACCGACGATGTCTGGTAACAAAGTCAATGCCCTAATCCGCAGATCAGATGGAATATTTCCAATGGCGATGAGCATCGCCCAGACACCCCGAAGGCCGCTGACGACGAGGGGCCCGACTGGTGCCAGCGCGGCGAGCAGATGCCGCTACCAATCGGTGGTCAACCTGGCCTTCACATTGACCCCTCGGACGGCGAGCGGGACGTGGAATCCATGTCGTTGAGAATTCCTTTCGTACATCGACGCCGAGACCGATTGCCTATGATGGTGTCCGCCTGCCGCAGGGAGGGGGAGCTGAAGCCTATGGCATCAATTCTCCTGTCCCGCTGGCCGATGACCCGCTTCCGGCGCAGGTGCCCCTCGCCGATGGCGATGAGGCTTCGGTTCCTTCTGGCGATTCGCTAGGACGGGGTTTCGAGGAGATCATGGAGGACCAGCCCGTGGGCAGCCCAGTCAGGGACACCTGCAAGCAAAGGCGCGAGACGGTCAGCCTTTCAGTGACGTCACCGCTCATTAAGCGGAAGAGGTCCGACGGCATTCCAAAGGACGGGCCCGCGCGCGCTCTGGGGGGGGTGGCTCGGTTGCTATGCGCTCGGGTCTTCCCCGCATCTTGTTCAGCCTGGCGATCGACCTGTGAGCGCAATGCCCGAGGCGCCTGGCCCGAGGACCCGCTCTCCTCGTAAGAGGAGTTCGGAAAAAAGGGGTGGGCCGAGGGCCCCGAGGCCGCGTTCGAAGGCGTCCAACTTGTCAATCCTACCGGGTCGGTCGAGTGCGTTCAGCATGCTGTTGGCCGCGATGCACTGTGATTCCTGAGACTCGGTCTCCTGGTACGCCAGGCCGACGTAAGATGCTGGTCTGTCATGGGTGCTCGGAGATTTGTAGCCTCTGCAATATGAATGAATTTCTTATGCCCGACGTGCGGCGCCCCAGCGTCGCATAATTGTGCAGACTTGCGCGCGAACGAGTGGCGCGAGGCTGAGGGGATGAAGAGGCTCGAGATCACCGAGGCCAGGGAAAGGGATAGCCGGGATGCGCGAGCGACTTCTTCAATCAGAGGTACATCAACAGACTGCCGCTGCTGTTCAACTGGAGCGGGACCGTGAGGCTATGGTGAACGCCGTGGAACTTCCTGGGGGGCGCCGGCGGGCGGTGGCGGTCGAGCTGGCCATGGCGGCGACCGTGGGGGTGCGGGGGCTTGCCGACGGGCTGGGGGTCACTGCTGCAGCCGAACGCCATGCGCAACTTGAAGAAGCACCTTGCGTAAGAAGCCAGGCGCGTCGTCCGGGGGGTTGGTGAGGCTCAGCGCGCGACTGTGTCGCAAGCGGCCCGGGAGCTTCGGCCGGCGGAATCGGAATGCGCGCTTGGCCGCGGAGGCCGCCGCCGCCGTCGAGCAGTCCGAGGTGGATTGTGCCGCCGCGAGTGAGAGCCATGCTCGCTCTGCTGTCGAAGTGCGACGCGCTCGGGAAGAGGCGCAGCTGATCGGGGCGCGCGCAGAGGAGATAGTCATCGCCAACGCTCGAATGGCGGAGCAGAAGGCCGCGCGGGGGGTGAAAAGCCGGGAAGCCGAACGGGACAAACTGCATCGCAAGCTCAACGAACGCCAAAGACAGTGGAGCCCGATTGGGATGTCTTCGGCGGCGTCGGCAGGGGCCGGGTCGACTGCGGATCCAAGTGCAGTCGCTGCGCGGGCTCCCCCGCCGCCGGCGCCGCCTGCGGCGAGAAGACCGCTCGCGCCGAGGCGAGGTGCGCGTCGCCCTCGCACGGGGCGCTGTGGTGCTTCATTTTCTTCGAGACGGCGCCCCGCGACTGCAGTTCGCGCGATAGGGGCATTCGCGATGATCGCTCTGTCCCCGAGGGCGAGATGCGCGAGCGTTGCTCCGACCGAGAGTCGACGCGGAGCGACGGTGCGGCAGAGAAGGATGAGGAACGTGGGGCGACAATAAATATAGCGGAACGGATCACCGCTGCGTCCGCGCCAGGGGCTGGCTCATTTGACTGCCCGCCATTGTCTGCGCCTGCCCGCGGATGCGCCTCGGGCGGCGATGGCCGCCGGGCGGAGTGCGCTGAGTCAGAGGGGCTGCTTGAGTTCGAACGGGCCGCAAGAGCCGAAAATGAGAGACTCGAGGGCGAGCGGTGCAGCGGCGAGAGGGCCATGCCGGGGGGCAGGCCGAGCGCAAGGCGAAGATCCAGGAGATGCGCGAACGCCGGGCCGAGGCAGCTGCCGCGGTGCAACGACAGATCCAGGGGAAGGAGAGGAAGGCTGGTGACGAGGCTCAGTTGCGGCGGGATATCAAGGCCCACGCTGAGCGAGCGCGAGTTCGCCTCGAAACCTCCTCCCCGGGATATACTCCGCCGGAGCCCGGGGGCTTGTCCAGTATCTCCGAGGGGGATGAAGCGATTCCCCCGAAGAAGGTGCTACCACAGAGGCATCCAGGCGCAGGTCCTCCAGGCCATGATGGCGGAGATGGTGGCGATGGCGATGGGGGTGGCGAGGATTATTGCCCAGATGACGAGGATGGCTAAAACCCCCGATGGAGGGGGTGGGGCCATCCTGATCGCTGGCGTCGGCGTGGCGGAGGGCCGCCTGATGGCGGCCCGCTTGGAGGCGGCGGAGACAGTGGAGTCCCTGTTCCATTCGTGGACGTGGCTCCTGCCGCCGCGCAGTAGTGGGATGATGCTGGTGAAACCGAGAAGATAGTCTTGGAAGCGATCCCCGACGCCGCCAACCAGAAGGGATGGCAGCGCAACGCGGTCAGGGCCGCGGCGTCAGCGTCGCCGAGCTGCGTGGATGCAATCGGGCGGGTGACGGACGCGTTCGATCTCGGGAACGTTGAGGCAGACGAGTTGAAGGACTCTGGCCATTTTGTCTGGCATGACCTGATGGTCGCAGCGGCTTCGTGGCTCAGGTCGACCAGATAGTCGGGGATAGACGATCCCCGTCTAAGCTCCGTCACCTAGCGAGCGAGATGGAACGGTTAGACATCTCCGCGCAAGCCGCCAGGAAAATAATGAAGGGTCGTCCACTGGCCGCCCGTCAGGATCGTGGCCAGGTGTGCGCGTGCGCGGACCTTATGGAGATTGAGATTCGTGGTGCGGGCCAGGAAACAGATGGCGACCTATTCCACATCTATGATGAGTGGGTGAGAGCGCTCGACGAGATGGAATTGAATGACTCCCTCCGCCCCGCTATACAGCGCAATTTCTTGCGACGGATGCAGAAGTGTCCTTGCATGCCGTGCGCGCTGGTGATCCATGATCTTTGCAGCGACGAGTATGGCGCGGGAGTGAAGACTTACGAGTGCTCGGCAATTTGCCATCGAAGGTCAGCGATTTCACGCGCGATGAGCGTGGGCAGATCGACCGCGAGAAACAGCGGAGAATGCTGCGTGCCCGTGGCCTCCCCGTGGGGGGCGCAAGCAGTGGCGGGGGGGGGGAAGGTGCCTGTGGGGGCGGACAGCGCCTCTACATGAAGGACGGCCGCGTCGAGTCGGTTCCCTGCAGCAAGTTCCCTCGGGGCAAGTGTCCGTGCTCCCGAGCTCAGTGTCAACGTTCGCGCCCGAAAGGATGCGGCCCTGCTGCCCCCGGACCAGCCGCGCCGGCTCAGGCCGACATGGGTGGTGGCAAGAGCAGCGGGGGGAAGAGGAAGGACAGAGAGGAAGGAGTCGGAAAAGGGGAAGACAAAGAGCGCGGCAGGAGCGAGGAGCGCCCCGTTGACCGATCCAAGGGCGGAGGCCAGGTTTTGGATCGATCGCGGAACCGCGCTTCCAGCGTCGACTCTGAGGAGACAGGGCCATGCTATGCATGCAGCCGCGGTTCTTGCCCGTTGTCGCCTGATAAGTGTTTTTGTGAGCACTGGCGCAGACAGGTTGCCGGGGGGGATGAGTTCTTTCGTGATGCGTGCGAGGCACGCGCGGGCAATATTGGCGAGACCCTTCGCTGCGTGCGTAGCCAGGAGCAGGCGTCTGCAGCGGCGCAGAATGTCAAGAAGAACGCCGGGCCGGGGAAAAGCATCGACAAGGGCAGCTCGAAGGGGGGCGGCAAGGACAAGGAGAAGCGACAATGCTGCAGGCACCTGGCCGGACAGACCTGCCCATTCGGAAAGAATTGCTGAGGCAGGTCCAGCATCTCTGGACATCCGCGACCTGGCCGGCCGGCGCCCGGTGACTGTGTCGCCGGCGCCGGTCTGGGGGGCAAGACACAGTGTTGCTGTCTTGCCCCGAGGATGGTAGCATCGATGCGCGCAGCTCCCGCGGTTTTCTGCGCTGGATCAGGATTCCAAGCGCCACCGCTCGGCAGGGCGGCCAGCCCTCAA